TATATATATATATAGCTAACACTATGGCATGACATCGCTTAAAAAGATTAAGAAAGAAAATTATCGAACAGCGATGTGCCAGCTAGATTTTTTAAAGCAGGACATAAAACCAAATCTCAATCGCTGCCCCCAAGGTTTCGTAGTACCAAATAAATTCAACGAGAACAAACCTCCCACTGCCTAATGATTCATCAAGGTCTTCCTGGTTCATTTCACCATTAGCTTACAAACGTTTGAATGTTATTGGGAAATTAGATGTAATAAATTGCTGCTAAGCGTTATGAAACTGTCTGAAGCGACTGTGTCGTTTCAGGTTTATTAATAAATATTAACGTATGCAGTAAAGTGCTAGCAGCTGGTACGGCTGGTACTCGGTTTTCTAACAGCCTACACAGTGTTTGAATCAATGTTCTGTTGAGTTACTGCTGCCCGTTGGCCTCATGTGAAACCATGAAACATGTTTCTGACKGCTCYCAAATGAATTCACTTGGCTTCAACTGGGTTCTTTTTCATGTTTTTCTTTCTGGGGGGAAGAGCAGTATTTGTGTGATCTAGGACACAAGTTTTTAACAGCTCCTTTTGGCAAGTTCATGATCATTCAGCTTTAAATCCAAACACATCGCATGACCCAGCTCCGGCGGGTTGTTAACCACACCTCTGAGACCCGCCTGAGGTCATCCACCCATTTCGCACGAGTAACATATTAGTAACAGTCAACCGGTGCAGGCTGCCCTGTTGGGTAAACAGTGACATGCCCGTCCTGGGGTCCAGCATATTGATTCTTTCACTGTCACTGCCACTGCAGCCTGCAGAGCCCAATTACCCTTCAGATAAGAGAAATGACCTCATTTTCAGGACCTGTCTGGACATGTATGAGCTCATTGCTGCTTTATTGACAGATTGTTGGATCTTTGAGCAGCTGAAGCTATTCAAGGTGATTTGTGGACCAGTTTTGTCAACTTTGTACCTTTTTATTTGACTTGTTTTGAACACTTTACTACAGTGATTCTAATACTTTTTTCCAAGTTTTTGCTATTAAGCATTAAAGAAATGCAGCTTCTGCATACAGTATACTGTAACATTTGAAGCACAAAATCTGTTTAGTGCTGTTTCAATATGTTTTTTATGATAATAAGCTGCAACCAATCCAGAAAATATGAAAACCCTTTTTCTTTTTTCCTTTTTTTATTTTCTGATTTTGTGACAAAGATTTGTTAGATGTCGATTTCTGTAGTCTTACAAAAACATATAAGTGTCTCCACCGTGTCTTGTCTTCTGTTTTYCTACAACCACCATATGCAGATGATGTCATGTTTTATCTTAAGTAAACTGCCGGCTATAGGGAAATCTCTTAAGTTCTTGTCTGTTAGGACTAAAGGAAAATGTTGCTGTTATAAAGTGTATTCTACAGCGTTTTTATGAAAAAAAACTTTTGTAGTTTTTTTTTTGTATCACACTCTGGTGCCAAGTCGATGATGTTTTTGTGTCTCCATGATGCAATAACTAGCATGTGTGGACGAATTCTAATGAAACTCTCGAGGTATTTGGTGAATGCATGAGATTGTGAAAACGTCTTTATTTAGAAGGTTTGAGGGAAATGGCTCCATTCTTATTATAAGATGATATTTTTTTTAGCTGTGGTATAAGAGGGAATAAGCAACATGCATTCATTCAAGGAATGTTGAGCCTTTAATTCCATATACTTTATAATCTGTTGAATAAAGTAAAACACACATTTTTTAAAGGGGGATACCCTTGAGGTCATAACCTGCCTACATGTTTGCCAAGCGTTCCCTGCGCTCGCTGCTGCACTCTGAGCTGACACTGATGTTTGTGTGTCATCTGTTTGGGTTAGACTCCTCTCACAGTGCCGCTCTTATAACACACCTGCATTTACCCTCCTAAACAACTGCCAGCTGTGTGTTACCTCGAGCTTTCAGCTCCGCTCGTTTAGTCCTTCCTGTTTGACAGGAAACGGCGGGTCAGCTGACCGAACGCTGTGGCGCACCTGCACCACTGAATGCACCGTGCACTTGTTTTTACAGCGGCAGGTTATTTGTCCCCCACCCACCCCCGTTTCTGGGTGTGTCAGTCGGTGCAGGGTGGCCCTCTCGTATAGCAAGCCTCAAGGTTTCCCTACATTTCATCACTTTTCCTGAAGGGCAGCCGTTCCAACAGCCCTTAGAGGCAGAAGGTTTTAAGGCTTTAAGAGAAATCAAGTTTGAGCCAAAGTTGATTTTTAGTCCTCYCTTTCCTTGCTGCCTCCAAGCCCAATCCAGCCCCCACCTCTGACGGTCTTTACAAGCAATCTGAGAAGCGTTCCAGTTCAAACACAGAGGGGCCTGTAATATAATGTAGCCACAGTCGTCACCAGCCCCCCTCCAGGGACTCGACCCCTTCTTCTCAGCTGCCTGCTAAAGCCTCTCTTAAACATCGCTCCCCTGACACAAAACATATCCCCATGATGCCATAACTGACTACATATGGAATCAGGCCAAAATGGTGATCGTATGTCACAGCGCAGTTTAAACCTATTGTCTTCAGAAAGCCTAAAAGCTCACAGCTGACCCCAATTTTACAACCAATCCTCCTCCTGGGGCTTCTCTCTGTGAGGTTATTGAGTTTTTTTTTTTGTTGTTGCCTGTGAAGTTGTCACGCTTTAGATCCTGCAGTCATCTTGTGGACGGGTCATCAGTCAAATACCTTCGTGTGTGATATGTCTTTTGTTTGTTTCAACACAGAATGAGCTTGTGCACTTGACATAATACCTGGAATGGATTCAGTGAATTTGCACGGCTCGCATTAAACGCACATGATTCAGAGGGATCGGTTCACAGCCGAGTTTGGGTTTGAAAACCCACCGATTTTTATGTTAAGAAAATAAGCTTCACTTGCTCGATCGGAAACGTTTTGTGGCTTGGTGGTGAGAAAACTTAAAAACTGCTTCCAACAATCAGTTTCTTTTTCTTTTTTTTTTAAATATCTACTTAAGTTTTTTGGGCATATTTGAAGCAAATCCTGTCCCATAACCGAGATGTTATAGTCATGAAGCATTAATGCATACAGACACAGAAGCTGTCATGTAAAGAATTGTTCAAATATCATGCAGAAAACCAATTAAGTTCTCATTTGARTGTTTATTTTCAGATGTAAAGACTCCATTTCACTCCGAGCCCGTCTGGGAGATCTAAAAACAAAATGGTCTCCTGTTATATGTTCTCCCGATGATTTGCAGAAAACCTTGTCACACCCCAAATATGTCATACCCCTAAAACAAGGAATTAAATTCCTAGAAACAAACACTAAAACTAAATAAAGACTTGATTCTCCTACTGTTTAAAGTAAATGACTGCAGTCAATCAGAAATTATAAGACTGTATTTCAAGGATGGGGTCTCCAAACTGCAGTTTTCAGATTTTGTTGATGTTCAACAGGATTAGATTCTGGGCCCAGGAAGGGCTGTAAAATTACAATTTTTTTTTCTCAAACATTTTTGAGAGCTTTCAGCTGTATGTTTTGGATCATCCTGTTGAAAGACCCATGACCTGTGACTGAGGCAGAGCTTTCTGAAACTGTGCAGTACGTTTCACTACAGAGAGCCTTAGTAGTCTTGAGACTTTGATGCGCCTTGCACAGATGTAATAGGGTTGCTACAGCTTAAGGCAAGTTAAATTTAAGACTTTTTAAGACCCATTTAGTGCTACTTGAAATAAAAATTTAAGACCAATTTCACAACGAACACAAATTGGGGCGAAAAACAATTTTACCCAAATGTTTATTTTAACACACACACACACACACACACACACACACACACACACACACACACACACACACACACACACACACACACACACAAAAAAAAAAAAAAACTAGCTGTGAGAAGCATTCGGTAAATAATTTTAAAGGGGCACTAACATGTAAAATCATCTTTTTTGAGTTTTATATCGTGTTATAATGTTACACTCTCATAAAAATATGCCCAAAGCCTTGCTTTGACTCATTCATGCATGTTTGAGAAATCCTGCAGAGTTTTTAGGCAGCCATGATGAGGAGCAAAACGACAGGTGGGGACCAGAAACGCCTTTGGGGACCAGGAACGCCCCTGAGACGTGTCTTTAAGCCAAAATTCCTCATGGCAGAGTACCCCCCCCACACACACACACACACACACCCCGCAGGCTCTCGGGTGAAAGTGAAAGTGAAACTTAACTGTCTGCTGAGCTATCAACATTAGTTCTCATTAAGTGAAGCTCTTTTCAGATTAAAAATACCTTTGAGGAAATGTATTTTCAGATGCCAAGTAAACTGCATCATGGCAGGCCMCCCCCCACCCCGCACCGAAATGGGCAAAACAAAAACAGAAGGTGTTTCTTAAAGAGACAGAGGCCAATTTCAAGGTGTTTAGAAGAGGAAGTGATGAGAAGATAAGTTTATTTTCTATTTAAACGTAAAAACAGTATTTTAATAACAGCTAAAGGTGACATAGATACTTTATTATGGTATAGTATTTAAATATATGCATGAGAAACACATAATATTGGCCCTTTAAAAAACAAGTGTTACCAATTGTAATATTTGCCACAAATTACAATCATCCAACTTACATTGTGTTAACATTGATTGATTTAAGACATTTTAAGGCTAATTACGGCCTTATTTCTGGATTGATGAATTCAATGCCTTTTAAGACTTTTTAAGGATCTGTGGGAACCCTGTTCAAGGTCCTCTGTGCCAAATTCAGCCCCCTCAATGATTCACAGTAGGTATGGCGTTCTTTTCTTTGAAAGCTTAAAGGCATGCAGATATACATCAGACTGATCCAGTTTCAAGAAAAATGTAGCATTTTTCTAATGAGGCAGCAGAGTGGCTCAGTGGTTAGCACTGACGCCTCACAGCAAGAAGATCCTGGGTTCTGATGTGGGGTCTTTCTGTGCGGAGTTTTGCACGTTCTCCTCGTGCTTGTGTGGGTTTTCTCCGGGTACTCCGGTTTCCCCTACAGCACAAAGTATGTACAATACTGTATATTTGCCTTCAGGCCCAGGCCTCCCTTGCAAAAAAATACCCTATGATCTCAATGGGAAATGCCTGGGTAAATACCGGAAAAAAGTAAAGAACTAATTTGCAAAATATCGTTTGTGTAAAAGCTGACATGTAGTTTGTTGTGGATCATACTTTTTTTTAGGAGAAAAGACCATTCATAACCTTGTGTGACAGCTCAGAAGTGACCATAGTGCTTGTGGGGGTTAGGATGGCCTGGCTCACCCATCCTGTCGTTCGCCTATCTGCTCCCAAAACACAACCTCCATTCACTCCAGTCACTTTGCTGATTAAAGGCCGGGGGGCCCTCGGTGTGTCAGTCTGCTGCTCAGCATGTTTAACAAGAGCTGTGTTTACACCATTTTCCTTCACCAAGAGGACCGGCGAGAGGCTTTCGCATGTACCACAGGCGGCTGACAGTGAATGTGACCTCACCGTGCAAATGTAAAGACTCTCATTGGACAACATAATAATCCATTATGGAAGTATGCACTGGCCACTTAAGTCCCCACATATGGGCTTTGTGTGGAATTTGAGCCTGGAGAATGGCACGTCAAGCAATCTTTAGATTACTCAGCCAGACTTTAATGATGGGACTTTGTTCTCCCAGAGGAGCCTTACGATTTCAAAGAACGTAAAGCATCGATGTACGTGTGAACACGCTGAAAGAGAGCACAATCACAACAATCAGAAAGCTGACAATAATGTATAAACGCTTGAGGTTTGCACAGGCACCAGAGCTGGGGAGGGGAAGCAGACAAACGGAGCAGCAACAGCCCTGACACATGGCCCACATTCACTGCCGCCTCCCACGTCACTGCGCTCCTTTAGAGAAAAAAGCCCCTTTTGTTTCTCAAAGCGGGGAGGGAGCGAGGTCTTTGGGGTGAACCGTCGCTCGGCTTCACCACTCCACCCGCCATCAGGAGGAAAAAAAAAAAAGAAGAAAAAGCGACCGGACTTCCCTCCCCTTACTCAGTCCCCGCTTCAGCACACAAACACAGTCCCATCAGAAAGCACCACTCTTGCTGCTGCAATTGTTTTCCTGCAACTTAACTGGGTCAGTGTGCATTGTTGTAATAAAGACATCTCCAACAATGACCTCGCTGTTAATGCATGTTCTTCACTGATCCTCATAAAGGCCTTTTTTTAAAACCCTTTCATGTTGCTTAGAGGAGCCTGTGAGAAAGTCCCGCCTTAAATTGTTCAATTTATTAGTAAAAAGCATCACAGGAAAATACAATTATGATTTTTTTATCATTTATAAAATAACTACAGATTGTGTCATAAAACAATATGGATCAGAGCAGCACAAAACAAACTTTACAGCTGTCAGGTTGAATATAAAGTAACATACTCAAACATTGTACTAAATTAAGACCGGATGTTAAACCCTTGCAAAAATTTAGGCCAGCCAGATGAGCTATTCACGCCYACTTGCATTACTAAACAACTGGGACACATTTGAAAAATTTGCAAACACAGAACAAGACGCAGATCAGAGCTGGCAACTGGCATTTAACTAGAATGCATATGGCCTGGTGGATTTTATACCAGTAAAACCATATTAAGCTGAGAAGGGACACAGCTGGAGCCGGTTTTGGTCAAACTTTGCGACGTTCTGTGCAAGCTTACACAAAAAGTGTGAGATATGCTAGTCCTCAATGTGTTGAAAATGACTTACCGCACCAAAACGTTCATTCTAACTCATTCACTGGTTCATGATAGTTTAGTTATGCTACAGTCAGACACAGGTAAATCCATTATCACCGCTTCAGAGGAACAAGCAAGGACGAATGACGCGATACCAAATGACTTTTAAACCCGTTTATTTTTTTAATAGAAATTATGCTCATGTTTTACACAAGTTTGTTACAAATCGTAAAAAGAAAGAATATTAAGRCTGTTAGCATCTTTAAGTACGTTTCAAACATTCATGAGAGTAAATCTCACAGGTAAGCCTGAAGCAACCCAGTACAATGCTAAGCTCTTCAGTATATTTTATAGGTGTGTGTGTGTTGTTGCTCAGTAAGGGTGAAAGAAGCTTAAACAACAGTAGCTCTTTAAGTGGTGACCATTTCTCTCCATCGTGTACCTATGTGCTAGTGAAGAACGTCAGAGGAAAGAAAAAAAAAACACTTTCAAGTGCAGAGAATTTATACAAGCCTGCTGTGAATTCTCTCCAAACAAAAGCACAAGTAGGCTATTCAGGTTAAGGTTACAATATGTTTAAATTTATCAGTTTTATTTCCACTCGTATCCATCTTCCCTGACTTTCATTTTCTCCTGAGACACAAAAAACTGTAGTGGGGGAGTCACTTCTGAACACAGTCCCCAAACGAACATTTAAAGCGTAAAACGTCTCTTCAGTCTCTCTTTAATGGAAAAGAAATGGACAAGCCCTTGGGATACTCTCTGCAGGAGCTCTCCACTTGCTTTGTCCTTAAGACTATCAGCACTGTTTGTTGTACCACCTGGTGATAAAACTCCCAGTCCTCTAATTTAGCTTGTCTTGAAAGGAAAGCAGCTCAGTTCCTTTCAATCTGCTCGATGTCGAGCTCTCCTCCGAGCTGGTACACGTCCCTCCTCATGCTGCACAGCCCCGCCCACAGAGGCTCGCCGTCCTTCCCGTTGGTCGTTTCTGCCGTCGGGCCGCGGCAGTTTGTGACATTCCTGTCCGCCTCCTCTGTGGCCGGCTCGTTCCTGGTGAGCTCGCCATCTGCGGGCCGACTCAGAACGTCCTCCGAGCCGTCTTCGTTTTCAGACAAGTCGTCGGGGTTGCACCTGAGAGTGGGCGCCGCCTGGCCTGACCCGCTGAGGTCATCGCTGGTGATGCCAGGGCAGCTAAGGCTGTGGAAATTCCGAAGTTTCTGTATAAAGACAGAGACATATTTCATTAGGATTTACCGTATTCGTGTATAATACGACCCCCCTTTTTGAGCTTCAAAAGCATAAAAAATTTAATCCTCAAACTACCTCCAATTTCATWCARACTTCAAGATTTTTCAGCCTTTGCAGTCTTTATACATATCAGTAAAATGATCATTGGACTGTTCATTTTATTTTAACAACACATGTACTAAAAGGTATTTTGGAAACAAATATATATCAGCTATAGCAGCATCATATGAATTCTGGCATTTTGCACATAGTCCACCGGGATGTGCCAACACAAAAGTCAGAGACTTCACATGAGATTTGGACCATCTTGTGGGGGAAAAGCAGATTACTTCCTACTCGCGAGCACCCCCTCTGGTGGGGAAACTCCTTTCAGAACACCGGTAGATGGCAGCCATTACAGACGAACATGTGTTTGTTGTTGTTCGAGGAGCGGTCCGGTCACACGCTAATGTCATTAGTTTGTTATCATTACTAAGGTAAAGGACTGCTCCCACCCCCTCCCCCCCACCTTTTTTTTCACATCATGCTGCCTGCTTGGATCTGTTATTATCTCGCTCTGAAGCACGGAGGAGTGTCAGAGGTAAGCTCGTTTCAACTGCTTTTTACGATGCGGTCTCATTTGCGGACTCAGGCATTTTGTGAATGAAGCCGATATTTCAGTTAAAATACAAAAGTAAAAATATTTATCCGAGTATAGTACTACCCCCCAACTTTATGGATGATTTTATGGATTAAATTTTACGTATTATACTTGAATAAATACAGTAAATAATAAACAAAAAAGTTAAAAAACTATTTTGTGTTGGCAAAGGTGGAGTAGCTGTGGCAGCCATCTTGAAAATAGACTGACTCCAAAAGTTAGTCAAGTGAAGATCAGCTGGTTCATGACATCTCACCAATACTACAAACTAACAAAAGACTCATCAATGACTGGTGATAAATACAATAACTCATTTTATCAGATAAAATAAGGCTGTGTTCCGACCCAAGAAGAACCCACGCAGCAAGTGGTCAGACATCCAGAGGACACACGTCACTCACGTTGGCCTTTCTGGTCCCCGCACAATGCTCGCATACATCTGGGAAACTCAGTCACTTCTTTAGGCTAATCCACATGTGCCAACACTGCTGCAGGCGGGTCCTGCGACAGCTGCGTTCGTTGCATTGAAAAGCTTTATGACAGAGGCTTATCCAATCTGTGCAGCTAATGTGAGGAAGGCAGGACAGCTGCCTCGTGTCTTACCGATGTCGGGCCCGAGAGAGGCGAGAGAATAGAGCCTCTGTAAAAAAAAAAAAAAACTCCTGTTGGTGTGCTTATGTAACACATGAAAGACATGGGTCTGTTAGAGACGTAGGGCAATGCCAAATTTACGAAGTGCAGCTGCAAATAATCAATAGAGTAAAGTGGATTTTATGTTTTTTTAATTTGTTGGAAAGTAAAAAAAAGGGCCATTAAGTTTCTAAATTAAATCAGTCCAAAAGCACTTTGTATTACTGGAGGTAAAACAAAGAGTTGGATAAGTTTACGACAGTTGTTTGTCAGTTTATTAGTCATTAAATTTGTCTGAAAACAAATGAAATGTAGTATTTGTTTTAAAAACTCACAGTTCTCATTAAGAATGAGTCAAAGGAGAGCAGCTGCAGCAAGCAAACACCAGAGGTGGAAGGAGCTATAATCCATTGATCTTAAATATGAGACAGTCTAAGCTATTTCAGATACAAGTGGGATTWTTAATCAATACTTAAATTTTTCACATAGGCTTTTAATGGTTTAACCCATTAAAACTGGATGCACCGTGGATAAAGGCACTTCCAGGCATTTACACGTATTGATGAACAGCAGTATATAACAGACATACAATTTAATTTTACAACAAATTTGGAATTTTTTAAGATTTACAATTCATTACGTCCTGGTTTTATTTACTTTAAGAATTTGAGATTTTTATGCATCAATGACAGAAACCTAGAGCTGAAAGTTATTTCATGTTTCACAAATCTAAGATCTTAAGGTTTTTAAAATAAATTTGATCTTTGATTTAGTAAAAGGGACTAAAAATTAAAACTAACAACCCTGCTGCAACACACACACACACGACTTCGGGACTACAGGGACTCAGTCAATGCTTGTATAAATGAGGCTTCAAAGTTCAGTTGTTTCTATACAGATAGAAAATAGACTTCAGTTTCTATTTTGATCACGGTGTTCACTTCAAATTTTATTGTCTGATAAATGCAACAGTACAGAGGCTAAAGCATTATGAGCTTTACGTTTATGGAAGGTGAAACCAAAAGTAGCAGTGAGAAAAGGTCTTTGCTTTTGGGTTGAGGTGGGTCAATAAATAATTTAGCTGTTTTTCTTGGCACTTCAGACGTTGAAGTTTAACTTGTGTCTCAAACCATGGGTCCACACTGATAAGAGAATAATGCCCCTTTTCCACTAGTGCCACTTAGTGTAGTGTCGGAATGGTCGGTGTAGGTACGGGTCGGACCGGTTGGTTTTCCATTGATGTTCCAGTCCGGTTCCAATGGATGTGTTTTGGGCGGTTGGTGGAGGTGGTTTATAGGTATTTTGAAAAAAAAAATTAATGGGCAAAATGAGAGATGGAAACACATTTGATGAATAACTTTTGAAATTTTAAACATTTGCAAAAATTTAGCCAGTGATGAACAGTGTTCTGACGTTGCATTTTGGTGTCAGCTGGGGACGGTTGGAACCACAATGAAGTAGGTACTAAAAAAAGTGCAGATTCCATGGATCTGGCCTAATGGAAATGGCTTGGAACCGTACCGACACTACACTAAGTGGCACTAGTGGAAAAGGGGCATAAGTTGTCTGGACTTTCATTAGCCAAACAAAGTATTGTTCCAACTTCTGGATGTTGGGTGTTTCAGTCTAAGCAAATCTTCTTTAACATCCTCATCAGAACCAAATCCCGAACGTTTAAATGATTGTAATAAGTGTTCTTGCTGTTGTGCCTGTGATGATCAGGAGTCCTCATCCATACTGACCTTGACTCAACATCCATAAAATCAGATCAATAGCTCATGAGGGCCAGCTGTGGCCGCCATTCACCCAGTGAGCTGAATTTATAGAAATCAATATCTCTTCACCCCTCAAATATCTGCCTCCTCCTTCGTGACGATCTATAACCTCTTCCACAACTGCTCTGCTTCCTGACATTTAAAAAGTGACGCCAGGCTGCGCGGCAGGTAGCATTTTCTTCTCGAGTAAACTACACCGCCGGTGGGTGTGTGTGGACGCCGAGACGTTTCAGAAACCAACCTTTGAACAGCAAGGTGACTTTCAATCCCGATACAGTGCCACACACACGAAGCACAATGAAGTCCCAGAGCCAAGTGGGTACAGAGCTTATCCTGTCATCGCAGCTAAACATCTTTCCCGTCCGTAGGTGGAGGCGAAACGAAAATGTTTTGGCGGGTGTCGGTGTGTGCCTGTGGGTGTAGCCGGCAAAGTAGCGCTTGAATTCATTTTTAAAGCAACCTAATATAAAGCTAACAAAATGGCTGGACTAAAAATCTTTATTTTACTGGAATTAAGGGAGAATTTGGTGTGGTAGTAGCTGAGAGTCACCCCCAACACATACTCTGAGCACTTACGGATCTCACCAAAATAACTTCATTTAAAAGATTTGATTAAAACTGTTACAACTCCCTTCCCATCATATTAGTTTAAAACTTCCTTCAAGGAATGCCAGGTTAGAGAGCATTTCAATTGACTATCTACTAATCCTGCAGTGCATCAATTAAGACAGTTGCTAGTAGTTAAGTCTTTTTGTGAACCTTTCTAAAATTGACTATTAGTTTTTTTTAAGTATTACTTCATGTAGAAAATACCTGAAGGACCACCAGGTTCTTTTCACCTGTGGATATCAGACTGAAATTATAGTCAGTTCAAACATTCTGTAACCATTAATCCATGGTTAAAGCATGGTGTGAAAGTACATTTATTTGATAAAAAAGAAAAAATAAGTAGGTCCTCTGGATGGGTTCTTCTTTAGGGAAATGTTTTGTCTCTCCTCTAAGAGACTTCTTCAGTCTGATGAGTTTCAGGTGAACTCAGCCTTATAAGCACTGCCTCCACATGGACAAACAGGTTAGTCACATGCAAAAGAGGGCCATCACCTAACAATAGGCTCGATTAGTTCTATTGTTCATACAGGGTCATGTGCCCCATCAGGTGACCCGTGTCGTATTATGTGAATGTAGTGAGTGCAGGCGGGGCTCAACGTCCCCTTGTTTTGTCTCTCTTTCCCTCGTTGTGTTGGTAACGTTGGGGCCCTGATTCACACCTTTTGCTCACAGGGGGCTGAGTCATACTTGCAATAACAGCGTTGTAGGAGGAGGACAACTGGACATGAAGGGCTTCACCTCTGTTTAATGGTGGACGGTTTTTCTTCACAAAGATGGCTTCGTTTACTCCTCTCTCAAACCAACGTTCCTCTCTATCAAGGATGAGAACATCTTCATCCCTGAAAGAGTGACCGCTGGCCTGTAAATGAGTGTAAACTGCAGAGTCCTGACCCGACGAAGTAGCTCGTCTGTGCTGGCTCATTCTTTTGAACATTGGCTGTTTTGTTTCCCTGATGTATAACTGATCACAGTCCTCCTGACACGATCTTTGGGGTGAACTAATCTTTGTCGTAACGTGTTTTGGGGTTTGAAAGCCACTGGGACGTCATGTTTAGAGAATAAATGTCTGTTTCTCTGAAACTCCCACCACATATGGAATGACGACTGGTTTGGGTCTGGGTTTAGGGTCTTCATTTTCACCTAGTTGTTGGCTGGAATCCTGTTTGGGTTTCTTGTCTGCTTTCAGAAAAGCCCAGTTAGGATAACCGCACTGCTCCAGGGCCTGTCTTGTGTGTGACTTCTCTTTCTCCCTGGCTCCCGTTTCTCCTCTACATTTATTTGAGCACTTACATACATATAATCATATATGATGACATATAGAATAGGTGATTCATGAGTTATTAAGCATGAATAAACAATAAGTATGTTGGTTTTGGAAATGTTAGCCTTTATTAGCAAAACATTAATAAAAATGTTATAGATTATYAAGTACGAATCATCCTTAATGATGTATTAATGGTTAACTAACCATTTATTAGTGATTAAGTAAGGCTAAATAAGGTGCACTTATGTGCTACTGGCACGTTAATTTAAAAAACTAAATTACATTTATTAAAACTAGTTTGATTTGTCTGATAGTCATAAATAACTTAAGGGATTTTTAAAAGTGTAATAAGTCTTTCTTTTGTCTTTTTGTGCTAACAGCGAAAGTCCTTCTTGAAAAAAAAAAAAAAAAACTAGAACAATGCATGAACAGCAGGAAAGATCAACCACTAACAATCTCGACACCCTGATGTTGCTCTATCATAATATTGTTGTTTGCCTCGCCTGAGGCAGTTTTCTCCATGCTGACCTTGTCTCTGTTTGAAGCCTGCGTGGCGTCTGCTTGTCGTATCACAACAGCACAGTTGTTAAGTCACCACTGAACTGAGTGACTTTCTGAGAAGGGCCGAGTCTGTCTCTGTCTTTATGGTGTATTTATTGTTGGGCAAAAGTGACACCTGCAAAACACCTGTTAAACCTGGTCCACTACAGAGGTGAGCCCAAGCCAAAAGTTTAAAAGAAAATAATTACTGTTATTTCTTAACAAGATGATTTTAGTCTAAAAGCTTTAGAATGAATGTGGCGGGTGATATGCGGGCCTATAATTTGTTGTGTACACACTCTTGTCCCAACACACAGACCACCATATAAAGTTCTGCTTTGATCAAATTCTTCCATGATAACAAAATCTAACAGCATATTTCTCCTCTTCTGAAAGTGTGAACACACACCCTAAGAAAAGGAATGTAACCCTGAACAGGCCTGCATGAACCAACGGCTCCTTTTTTTTTTTAAACAACCAAGCTGGCAGAAACATTTCGAGGTGGGCTGAAGGAGACTGGTGTGTGACCTTTACTGCAAAGTGTTTGTTTGCCCAACATGAACAGCGAAAATTACCCCAAACAACAGAGTGTAACAAGTAAATGTTACAGACCGACAGTCCTGAGATCCCAGCTCTAGAAGCCATTTCCTGGACAGTGATTATCTGGAGCACAAAAGGTTGTTGAGTTCAACCAATAAATTCCCCCGTATGTTGTCTCAGAAGTTTTTGTTTGACAAAGAAAAGGTGCAAAATATAATAATAAGCTGTATTTTTAAAGCCTAGTAAATTCGATTCTTATTTTATTAAAAGGCCCAGCATTAACTTGAGGAAAATACATTTCACACCAAACTTTTAGACTCTGTAGTGGAAAGCTTGACTTGTGTTGAGCCCCAAAGGTAATCAGTTGTAGATATACAACTATCGATTACTTTCTGAAAGTTATATTAAAATCTACTTGGTGGATCATGAGATACTTTGCTGTCAGTTCAGACAAAGTAAAACCAGAAACTAACCTGGGTCATCTTTGCCAGATCCAGCGAAGGCCTCTGTTTGTGTGTGTCAGCAGGCCTCCTGCGCTTCACACCGATCTTCTTGGCATTGAGGACACACGGCTGTGAGCGACTGCGGGCGAGGCCGCCCTGACCGCCACGACGCTCCAGCTCTGGAGTGGAGTCAGGGGAGCTGGGTGGCGAAGGTCCACGAGCCTCGGGGAGGCTAATTTGTTCATGAGAGAGGTAGAGGGGCTCAGCTGCGGGCTCGGACGAGAGGCGCATCGGGGATGAGGGTGTGAGGCCGGTGAAGGCAGACGGTTGGGTTAAGTGCTGGGTGAAGCACAGTGGCTCTGCGGTGTCAGAGTGGGCAGGCAAACTGAAGCTGGAACTGCGCTGCATGGCCGGGAAGCACAGCTGCGCGTTTCCAACACTGCCGCGCTGGACGCTGCCTCCGCTGTGGCACCGCCTCTTCTCCACGGACGTCCACACGCGGGAGCCCTGCGGGCGCCAGGTGGAGCGGCAACTGCCGAGCTCGCCTGAGCAAGACAGAGACCGGCACTGACGCTTGCTGGGGGGCGCGGTGGAGTGGGACGAGGCCGTCTCAGTTAGGCTCAGGTCCTGCAGCAAGCTGGTGATTGTGCTCGACTTGGAGCCAATGTCCCAGTCCCACTGGGCAGAAGTCCTGTGCACCTCAGGCAGGACGTCCCACAGGTTCTCCAAACTGGTTCCAACTGGCCGCTGCTGTAACGCACAGCTGTGACCCACCTCACGCCACTGACTGGTCCCTGAAATGAAACAGACCAGATTAAAAGGTCATTAAAACCGTTTTGGAAAATTAGGTAAATAATTAATATATTTTGTTAAAATATGCTAATTTCAAGATCTACAACATTTTTCGCTCAGTATTTTGGTCACAATTGTCTAGTTTTTTGTTGTTAAATTTTTGTCATTGTATTTACTGTGAGTAATGTTAACGTGTCCATCTATCACTTTACAGCTGAAACTGGTAATTTCCTAGCCTGGCCCTTGCCTTCCTACTCAGTTCCGCTCAATTCTAGTTTCCCTTCACTGCTCCGTCTGGGATTTCTCCCATAGACAAGGATTTCTTTGGGAGCAATTTTTTCTGGGCCAATGAGAGAACAGAACGTCGATGTTCTGTGCAGTGTCTGCTAGTTATTTTAGCATACAGCAGTGGAGGAAGTGAATGAAGCCAGTCTGTGTTGATAAGGCTTCCAAATTAAATTAAATTTGTCTGACAAAGCAGCAGCTCTCATTTACAGTCATCTCGTTCGGCTCGGTACTTCTCTCCTCTCAGTAGGGTTGTTTACAGAACACGTGATTTCCGGTTAGCTTCTTAGCTTAGCCTCCTTCACAGCGACATATGTCGTGGCCAACCGATCCAATCATTTTAAATTTCAGCAGAGGCCATGCCTCCAGCAAGAATCGCTTATCTATAGCAGAGAGTCCAGACCCTGTAGGAAGCAAAGTGAAAGACAAGGGTCTGGTTTTTACCAGGCTAGTAATTTCCCAGTAAGGAGGAAAAAAAAAACAAAAAAAAAAAAACGGGTTTGTTCTATTCGAAAATTAAGCATAAGACATGAAACAATCTAAATGGGTGTGTCTCTTTCTACAAAGCAATCTGATTTTGAAAACAAATCATGAGTTACCTACAGATTCCCACCGTACCCTGCATCCATACTATTTTGACACTCGTCACTGCTTCTTGTTAAAAATAAAGTCGGCCCCTCAGGCGGTGCTTCGGTGTCTCCATCTGTACGCACAGCTGACTGGAAAAGTAAAGGTGCTCAATGTTCAGCTGACTCACTGTTGATTCTGAATAAGCTGATCGTATTTTCTTGTCTGCTCCACCAAGCCTGGAAGGTACCTTGAACTGCCCACAAATACTTCTGATTCTGAATAGGGTTAGCCAACTGAACTAGCTAATCAACTCTGAGTCAGATGCTGAGCATCAAACCATTTGTCCACTCTTGGTATGCAGAACATCTACTCTTCCCTTCGCAATAAAATCCACCAAATACCATCAACTACACTTAAGCAAAACAAAGAACAAAAGGCCTGCTGGTAATGTTTTGGTTTTGTGACTGGGCTTTGTGTCACAAACACTGGGTGCCAAGTTACAGGATAACACATTTATTATTACTACAAAGATAACAATAAACCCCGATATTTATAATCTTATAGAGAGAGCATGCTCTTTTATGAGATCCCTTTTAGCAATAAACTGCTAACATGTAGTCACTTGAACACATTTATGAAAGCAAAACCACCTGCCTGACATGTTTGACATTGGTTCATTCCTTTAACCAAATGCGGAGGTGGTTGCTTGAAGCCATTCCTCTCGATAATTCTTCTACTTTTACATTAACACAAGCACCTTTTAGCCAGAAACACCTGACATTTTCAGGCGTCGACAAGACATTAACTTTGTGATGAGAAATATTTAACATAATTGAGACAGAAGATTGTATCCAGAAGATTACTGGAGTAAAAGTAAGTACAAGCTGATAAAATCTTACCCAAGAAGAGTGCTGCACCCTGGCTCATGGTTTGTGCCTGGAACTGTTGTGGTACAGGGAGGGGAAATAAAAAAAATCAGTGTTAGCTCTTCAAGACACCACAGAAAGCTTTTTTAAATTGACTAAAAGTAAAGTTTTAGCAATGTATAATTGGTCCCAAGTGTAGTTCATCAGTGGAGAGTTATGCCTTAAATGTTTCTGACTAATGCTCAGCCACTATTTAAGATGATTTCATTTCCACAGACTGAAAGGTCAGATTCAGTCCACATTAGTTGGGGAATTTTCTCACACAGTTCTGAACTACTGTTGCAAAGACACAAATTGGAGAATGAATCAATTTAGTGGAACGATAATGCTTTGATGTCTTTCGATGTGAGTTGGAGAAAATAATTATGGAGGATCAGCTGGTAACTGACACAAATACAAACAAAAATTCACTTTTGGCTATAAACATCCACATTAGTCCTCTGGCGTCATGTCCTGTGAGTCACTACCTTTTTAATCTTGGCCGTGGTTCATTTTCACTTTTGACTTAACCTGACAAAAACAGGAAAACTAATAAACGAAGGCTGAACTGACGTGGACTGAGTTTCCAAATTGAAAGCAGTAACTTTTCCTCTGGTTGACAGGCACAGCTGAAGTCTCTTGGCGCAGCTGCATAAACATGAAAGGACACATTTCACATGCAAAGGAAAACAGCTTTAGAAAACCACCTCTCACCGTGCCCAAGTCCGTACATGTGGAGGTTACATCGTCGCCGGCCTTTTTTCCCAGTGTTTTTTTGTAGATGATCACCATGGCTTTGCACATCCTCGTCCCAAGTCGTTCCAGCGACTTAAACTGGAGGCCATCTTGATGGGGACAGTGTCAACGGGCAGGTTTCTCTTCTCAGCTCCTCCAGGAATGTGCTTCACTCTTTGGCCTGATCCTGAGTGGACAAAGACGAGCGCAGGATTAGAACTCAGCACATTTCTTACATTCTGCCGACCATATAAGCAGACGACAGAGGAGGGAATAGAAATCTCAAGAGGGGACGGCTTGACATGCATCAAAGAAGCAAAGGTTCCTAAACAGAACTATCCTCTGAGATTCAGCAGAGTATCTAACACTGACAAAAAAAAAAAAAAAAAAACAATTTGAATAAGTTTTAGTTTGTTTCTGAGAAAGTCATCTGCATTTACTAACACCAATAATGGTTCTGTCAGGAAGTACAGAGACATAATAAAACCTTAGGCTAAATGCTAACACTAGTTTGCTTTCATACTTACAACAACAAAGCTTTCATGCAGACATTTAGCCAGTAAATAATTCACCATGTTTACCACCTTACTTTGGTAGATTTACAACAAATAAGCAAATAAAACATAGCTTTGGGCTATTTCTGGATATAAAATCCAATTTTCACTTGAATCATCTGATGTTGTTTTTCATAAAATCAATTAATCTTTATTTTTATTTTTTTATCCTGGTTTATTCTCAGTCTTGTGTAATGATGCATGATTTTGGTTCTGCTCAACTTTGAAGCAAAATGCACTGAAATTATAAGAAAATTCACTATACTATTGTAGTGTCAATTTAACTATAAAGCACATTGAAAGTCATGCATGTTGGACAGAACTGCTGTGCAAAAATACATATCATTCCAAAAACAAAACACAGTTTAGACAAATTAATAAAGTTTATAACAAACACTACATTAACCAAAAATAAATGGTTCTTTTTTTTTGTTTTTATTATTTTAGTGGGGGTGGGGGGGGTTGTATTATGCATTTTCCAGGCACATAGTTAAATTCTAAATCACAATCAAGTAACTATGTTGCCTTCAGTTGTTATGAAAATGCTGTATGTATCAAAAATACATTTGACTTTGAATCACAGTCTAACATCATGAAATTGGCCTCTCTCTCTTAAAAAAAATGGCCACTCCAAATGTGGCCACATGGCTCGATGGTCACTTGGTCGCAAACACTTTACCTGACTTTCTCGCAATATTGAGTCACCGACTAGTCTCTAACAATYGCAGCCCAACATTAACCTCAAGTGCTCATTTGTTAGAACTGAGCACTATTGTTTTCCTTTACAAAGACACGTCTAACATTTCAGGTATGCCTTTCACACATACAAAATAATTTAAGTTAAATACCCAAGCTGCATCTCAAAACACATGGATTCCATTTCTGTGGCTCCTCCATGTGCATCCTGTTCAGCTCTACATGTGGAAACTCATGGAAATTCAGGGGAGTAAAACAGTTTCCTTTTCCCTTTTTTCTTTCATTTCTGATGCCAACACTCACTATCATTGTGTTACTTGTTCCGTCATATGTTGGTYTGTGAATTAAAGTGACAAAGCGTTTTCACTTCCACATGGCCTCATCCAAAAAGGGGAAGTCTACACCTTGTTTTATTTTTGCCTGATCACATGAAAGACAGAGTGAGTTTCTCTAAAAAGTGTTCCTCTCTGGAGCACACAGAGGAGTGGAGCAAAGTCAAAGTTGTGTAATTGACTCCTCAGGGGCCGGCTGAGAATAGCTGACCTTGCGGTTATCAAAACAACCCCAGTCTTCACGTTAATGCTGCACCATGATTACAGTAAAAGTCCTCATCAGTCCCAGATGTAAACCTATATAATCGTCACGGAGGAGCTTACGATCACAAGATCGGTTACACACTCGAGGCCACGTCAGGTAGATGAACAGAACAAAAGTGGACACGAGATGGTCGTGTGACGCCTGTCGCCTGCAAGGTCAGAGGGGTGTCTGTTTCGATGACACAACTGCAGGACAGAGAAGAGAGGAAACAGAAAGAGATGGTGTGCACAAAACAAAAGAGTGGCCTGTTTGAGGTTGAGACACCACGAGAAACAAAAGAGGCTGCATCAGAAGTTGCGGGTGCTGTGGTGGAGTGTGTGGGATGAGACGCACTGGAGGTCGTGTTTGCATTCAGCATATGATTTCCATTACTAACACTTAATCATGTCTAGAAAACAACTCAAGTATTAAGAAGGGGGAGATTGTGCAAAATTGACTTTTTTTGTAGGAATGCACGATATATCGGCATTAAAATCAGTATCGGTCCGATATGTAAAACTGGGCCGATATTAAGGTCCAATATTGATTTCCCATTTTTTCGCTTTGTATTTGTGTTTAGGGAGGGGAAATGGTTGGTTGAGTGGTGTCTGTTTGATCATGATAGTGATATTAACGCTACGTAGCCAGTGATAACTGAAGTAGGGTTGGGCATAATCGTATCGTGTGCAATTAATCGTCAGAAAAACAATGGATTATTTTTTTTGCACTTGACAATTAATACGATTAATGCCACCAGGCAGACCGATGGGAGATTTCCCCGGTCAGTCCGCTCAGTGTTCCTCTCCACTTCAAATATGACCAACATTAAAAAAACAGTTCTGTAATTTATTTATCTATCAACACAATTTAAATTTTGATGTATAGCTTGAAGTCCGTAATTTTTTACACAATTTGGAAAAGATTTTTATGAAGAGCAAATCTTTCCCAATAAATTGGTAATGTGACTAGAACATGAGGGTGTCCAGGGACTCCAAGAGATTAATCATCAAATTAATAGTTATCGGCTAAATACCACAATTAATTGTGATTCTTTTTTTTATTTTGCTAATATTGCCCAACTCTATTAGGGAGCCATGTCAGAGGTCTGACCATTTATTTACGGTATCCAGAAAAAGACTCAAGTGTGTTTGTGTGTATATGTATAATATAATTTGTGTTTGTGTAATATCGGTAAATATCAGTTATCGGCCACAACAGCAATAATTATATCGGATATCGGCTGAAATTTTCATATCCCTATTTTTGAGCATTATATCATGTTATGTCATTCCCTCAACAAAAACGTACCCAGAGTGTTGCTTTCACTCCTTCATGCATGTTTGAGAAATCCTTAAATCTCCCGTGGTAGCCATGTGGAGCTGCCTAAACACTTGCAGGTACAAAGCACCGCCTTTTTGTACATAGCTCCTCCCTTGAGCCCAGTGTTCAGTAGAGCTCACGTCCTACAGAGCACCCCTCCCCCAAAGCATTGTTGTGAAGACATGCTGAAGTGGGAGTGTTACAAATGGTAGGAGGTTCAAAAGAGAGAGCGAGAGAGAGAGAGGTGGGCCAATTTCAAGCCGATTAGATGTAGACGCAAAATCAACAGTAACTGATCGGTAACGCATCGTAGTTACTTGATTGTGCTGTAGAATTGAAATATGTGCTTAAAGAAAAAAAAGGCAACATTACCCCCACCCCAACCCCCAAAAAAGGTCCAGTATTCCTCAAATAAATGCTTACCATCGGTTGCCCAAGTTCATCTTATACTGAGAAATGACAAAGTTCTAGTCATTCTGGTTAAACCTTGAAAACAATGTTATGTATGTGCAACCTCACGCAAAATCACATGATGTCATGCTTGAATTATAACTACCACCGCATCAAAGCTGAGCTGAATATCTGTAATACTGACAGCTTTTATCCATTTTTATGTTAGCTATTGTCAATTAGCTGTGGTGGCCATCTCGAATTGAGTTGACCCCAAAAGTTTAACCATTCCAGACAAACTTCTGGTTGCTTTCTGAGCGCTTGGTTAAAATTTGTCAGGTGATACGTGAGCTATTTTGGTAACAGACATAGGCAAAGTTTTGGCTGCGKGTGATAATGAGGGTGTTCTTCAAGAACAACACCCGTCTTTAGTTTTATCTCGAGCAGAAAGGAACTGAGCTCAAGGCGGGACAGATTACTATATGTGCGTGACCATCAGCCACAAAGATCTGAGATAACTCTGGATAGGCTGGCTAGAGGAAGGACTTGTTTGTTTATCACTTGGCCTATAGATAGACTCAAATGACACAAAATGAAAAAGAAAACTCCTTGACATGAAGTTTACTCAAAGGGGACATTAAATTAAGTTTCCCTTCCCTGAAAAGAGTAAAAATGTTTGTCTTGATGCTCAGTGTAAACAACCATTACATTTAGTTGGAGCAAACTGCAACAATTTGATCATTTTTCTCATGCTCTGGTTTTTTTTTTTTTAAATCCAAACTGAGAGTTTTATATGGGTGAGGTTTATAACATAATTATAAACATTCCTCAGCCTCATGACACAAGCTGAACAAAGTTATAGAGGCTGGACCTAGCCCTGAAGCCTTGGAAAACCATTCAAAACTTGCGTCAGTTTAATTTTTTTTAAATAAAAAGACACAAATAGCTGGAAAAATGGGAAGCCTGCTTTTTCTTGGTCAGAGGAACCTGGAAAGCAAAAGGCAAGAGCTACAGTGAGGCAGAACTGGCAGAGTTTAACGGATACACCCAATTCACTCACCTCATATTGAATGTGTTCTAACACATATCTAAACTAAAAGACTACCGTTCCTTAAAGGAATGCATTTTGCCCRCCAGAGTTCTGAAACAATATCAAGTTGTAACTGCAATTTTAGCCAAACCTTGTGAATAACGTTACGCAAAGTTTCATGCAATAATGGGAGATCTTGCGAGAGCCWTTATCTAAAGTATGTCTCCACTAACGCACAATGTTTTAGCTCAAAACCTGTCAAATTTGCTGAGGTATTCCAATTTCTGTGTAGGCTTAAATTGGGGTTACTCCAAAAACTCATCAGTTGTAGGTGTGCATACATACAACTTTCTACAAGTTTTATTAAAACCAATTCAGTGGATGAAGCTACAGACAAAAACATTGTCACCTCCGTCGGCAGGAGATAAATATGCCAAATTAGGCAACTAAATAGGCACCAGTCCTCTTCAGACGGCTATGCTCAAATCAGCACCATCACCACGCAGTCATTATCTAGAATCGGTGGGAGTCATTAGGCCTCTGGAGTCCGATAGCTTGTTATCTGGGTTAAGGCAGCAGCCACCATGACAACTGAGAATCTAATCTTTGAGGAGAACGTTGCAGAACATTTCACTCAGACATGGCTTCCCATCACATGCAAACTGCACAGTCTGCACTGGTGACAGCCCTCACAGAAGACAGCAAAAAACACAACCTTGGATGAGCTTGATGAGTTTCCTTTGTGGTCACCTAAAGCTTTTTCACCCGTCACCACTTTGGCTTGTCAAGACACATCAAGCGATCGCTCAGCATAATAAAGCCATAAGTGAGAAAAACAGAGTCTATTGGGTCAAACCAGAATGAGAGTTCTTGAATGTCAACTTGCACAGACCCTACGTTTCTTTTTTAGCATTCAGCACAGCTGTGTTCTTTTCTGAGTCACACTTTTTTAAAGACTCATAAACTTCAAGTCATGAAAAAAAAAACAGCCATCCCTACAGGCATAAAAACAATAGTCACCCCTCCAAGTGTCATTTTCCCATTTTGAGCAGCCCATACATTGCTCTGACTGTAATGCTGTTGCGTTAGGCTACCATTACATAAGGATTTGGCAGCTTTGTGTCTGAAGGACAATTAGAGCTAACACTAATCCATCTTATAGCACTTGGGACAGCTGGTGGAAACAATAGAGTTAGATATAAGTGTTATCTTATAAGCTACCGATTTACACATTACCGGTTTTGAAGCCTACCTTTTTTAATACTTGATTTTTATAACCATCGCCTTCATTAACCAAAACAAAAATCCACATTAAATAGTTCAGATTGTAAGTAGGGTTGGGCATAATCGTATCGTGTGCAATTAATCGCCAGAAAAACATTAATCGATTATTTTTTGGCACTTGACGATTAATATGATWAATGCCAGCAGGCAGGCTGACTGCAGATTTCTCCCATCAGTCTGCTCGATGCTCTGCTCCGCTTCAAATACGACGAACATAAAAAAAAGTTCTGCAATGTAATTTTGACACAATTTGGAACAGATTTTTACAAAAAACAAATCTTTCCCACTAAATTGGTCAATTGACTAGGACATAAGGGTGTCCAGGGGATTAATCGTCAAATTAATCGTTATTGRCTAAATACCACAATTAATTGTGATTATTTTTTTACTAATATCGCCCAACCCTAATTGTAAGATGCCTTTTCTGACACACTCATTTGACTTTCCTAAAAGAATAGCCGAATTGTCCCAGGATCGTGTGCTATCTCCATAATAGGAGCATCTGCTKAACACCTGAGATGGCCAGATTTGGAAAATAAATGTGGGATTTGTGCAGCGCTCTTTATTACTGCAACATTTGTGAGAAGAATGTCGGGTAAATGCTTGACGGCTCGCCTTCGCAGAAGGATTCCGAAAGAGAAACTACGCCTGTTCCTAAAAAAAGCTTTAAATGCATGTCTTATTAGAGCTGAAGCGCAAGCGTGTTCCATACCATAATTCACGCTTGAGCAGTTCTCGTTTTTCATCCAGGAAAACAGTTGGGACGTTGTGAAAAATGTAAATAAAAAAACAGAACGCAATGATCTGCTTTTCTCACAAACCCATACTTTATTCACAATAAGGCATAGGAGATGTGTTAAAGATTTAAATTAATAAATTATAAAACTTTAAAAAACATCAAGAATGTTGGGACGGCAGCAATAAAAGTTTGTAAAAGCAAATAATAAGCTTTACTTTTAAAATTGTTTTTCCCCTGCAGCACTGAAAATGAAAATTCCACRTTTTTTTGAAACGTGAAACTTCCTTTGTTACTGTCATTAAGTAGGTCCCGCGAGCGGCAGGTGGTACAGGGTACTGTCAGGGCTGAGTGACTGAAAAGAATTTTATGAAACTCATTGTGAGGTGTTGGCAAGCCCACAGCTGTCCGCGCGTTCACAGAAATTAAACTCGAGTCAGACGGCGAGGCTCGCTCTACATTTAAAGCTGCGAGTGAATAGTCAGAAACGAGCATGGCTTGGGAGGCTTCAATAGCAGTTATCAGGCTCAGTTTGAGGGCCTGGGGTACAGCCAAGGTCTCACAGGCATGCAGCTGCCCACTTACCATAAACACAAAGACTCAGCATGCTATGCATGGCAGCCAGGGAGGCCTACGTTTTAAAGCAGGCCCGCTGCTTAATTATCTCATACATAATCACTTGTACTGTATACATTTGTCCAGAACAGGAACTTTGTTGAGCTTGGTAATCAAGGCTTTCAGGAGTCCTGTCCAAGTTGGAGAGAAATGTTGTCCACTTGAATGCTAAACCTAACAAAGTCCCTTAATTACACAGCGTTAAAGACACAACAGCAACTGAATAATAATATAGAACGTTAACGGACCAAAAGGGGTCAAACCTAATAGACAGGTCTCCATTTTAATTCAAAATTTACACAGCAGGGTAAAAGAAATGCATTTATTGCACACAAAAATGTGAGAACGGAGTCAAACTTTTTTTAAAGTGGACATTGTGTTACAGTCCAAAAGCTCTGAAAAACGTGTCACGATATTGTCAGTTGGATGGAAAGGAAAGGGGAAGAGGAATCATCTGCAAGTCCTGATAGGCAGCCTGTCTTGCACTTGAGCTAAAACTGTTTTTTCATATGAGCCTGCCAGCCCTCCAGGTGGATGGCTCTCAGTTTCACATAAGAAAACAGCCCTGAAAATTGAGCTCGTGATCGGCACAAACCGTCCCCTTGAACCCATGTCTGAAAACTCCCATGCAAAAGAGAAAAGACCAAAAGTGCCACAACTTGCTAAATATAGAAATGCAGCAGAGGTTACACTTTGCCATGTGACTTTTTCCAAAAACAGGTATGAACTTTTTTAAACAGTAGTACTCACACCCAGGAATTCAAGTTTAACAATGTGTTTGTTTTTTTCTCCCCAACTGTGTAAAAAGCCARCTCTGACTTCATACCTGAAGAGAGGTTTTGCTATGATAAAGATAAGATGTCATTCCACTGCCAAGAACAGTATGAAACCAAAGTTAAAGAAGGTCAAAGCCACAAAATAATGTGGTGTCAGTCTTAAGGGAAAATTAAAGCTCATTCAGACCAAACTCTTACACACTTGCCATCAAACATCTTGTCATGCATGCCTTGCAAAGAAACCAGACCACGAACAAAGTGTATGCCCTTCAAAGTTAGTAACTTAAAATAAAAACGCTTTTTTGTGCAACTTGGGCAACAATTGTGGGTTAATTCACACTAAAGCCCATTTATACAAGTTATCATTTACATATGAATACATGGTTTCTAAGGAGTCACATAAATGTGTATAAACAACACAGACTGAATAAAAGTAACGAGGAGCTGACAGTGTTATTTTAAGAGTAATTTGTGTGAGTAATTAACATAGACAAACAAACGGGGGACTGCTCAGGCAGCTAAAAAAAGTTGCTAAGCTAGCTTTCTGGGGTTGTTTAGCCTCCTTCGAGAAACTTATTTTGCAACTAGTCACGTCTAATCCAAGTTGTTATTCTTAAAACACGCCTTCGTGTGCAACACATGAATTCAAACCACAAGTAAGTGCATCACAAGTAAACTAGCTAGTAAGTTTTCTATCGTCATTATGTTGATATTTTGGCAGAAAAACTACTACTCACGAGCAATTACAGTGAACTTCTTGTTTTTCTTCCACAGCACCGAGCAGCTGATCAGTTTCGGCTGACAGTTGTGAGTTTTCTTCTAGTAGAAAACAAAAACAGACTCGGGGCAGGAAACAAGCTGAGCAGCTCACTTCTAGCACTTGGTGCAAACTACAACATTGCCCCAGTGCTCTACTGTCCGACAAAACTACACGCTAATGAGCCAGGGACGAGGGCGATACCACTTTACACAGGGAGGGGGGGAGGAGAGTTTTCAAAGTTTTTATACACCTAAAACTTTTACAAGGCACAACATATTTGTAGTAACTGCGTATTTCAATGTTTTTTAATCTTATTAAACTGAAGCTTAAGTTTGACAAAAAGGGAACATGTTAATTTTTAATGCAAGCTAGCAAAACTGCGCCCCCCGCGTTTGTGGCTAATGTTTCAATCCACCCTGAAGTAATGAAAAGCAATCAGTTTATGAGCTAGGCATAAACACAAGACATTTTCACAATATACAGTAGTGTAACACGAGAAAATTCCAAATGTACGCGACTTTTAGAAACCCAGTATGAGTAAAATATACATATGCATTAAATACACATATATACTTTCACTAAATGAATTCTGGCCTAATAAAAAAAGTACTGTAAATAAATGCAGTCATTGCAAACAGATGTGCTTCCTGGAACTAAAGTATTTATCACAGTTTAAATCAGCMTTTAACATGCTAGTATTTTCATTTATAGCTATTCGTTGATACACAGAAATACAGTGTAGTAATACAAAAAGCTTTACTTACCCACAATATTTTTATTTCCAAAGTAGATTCAAACTATTTTTGAGCAAAACATAAGCAAATAAACTTGTAAAACTCATCTACCAGCTAAGGCAGTAGTTCCCAAAGTTGCAAGTCCTAATTTAGAGAAGTTAAAATTTGCRAACAGCACATCTTTTTGTCACATATGTTGTAAAAATGACAAATTTATCAACAATGGTTTGTATTGCAGATGCTGCGGCTGTTTATGTTGTCATTATGTCTTTGTTTAATAGAGTTATGAGCAAAGTATATACATTTAAACCAGGAATAAATGAGATATAACTTTGTATAATTTTGTGGGTGAAAAGCTAAAAGGTTTGAGAACCACTGATTTGAGAGATAAAATCTAGCTTGTGTAAACTGTAGCTACTTATGATAATCTGTTTGTTTGAGCATTTCATGTATTGTGAAATTATATATGATTACAATGCAAGYGACGTGTCCAGAGTGTACCCCGCCCCTCACTACTGTGACTGCTGGATATGAGCACCAGTGACCCCCGTGACCCTGACAGGAAGAAGCGGGTATAGATAATGGATGGATGGATACAAAGCAAGAATATCAAACGTTAGCAATCATTACAACTGTGAACCAAAGAGGAAACATCTTTATGTATAAGGACAAAAAAAAGTCTTAACTTCATATACAGTAAATTACCACATTTTTCTGTGAACAGAAGCTGCTACGCTTGGCCTCATCAGGGTGGGGAACATGAGACTCACCCCTGGCAGACAAATTGTTAATCAAGGAGTAACATCTGTTGTGTTCTTCTAATCTCGCCCAGACTGTCCCACTAGGTTTTAGACTGTCTGCTTTTTGTGTGTGTTAATGGTAACCCGGGATTTATCTTTCACACTAGGGCAGTGTTGTACTCTTTAGGATGCAGATAATCAAGTTTATCTTTGTGGTCGGGTTGGAGGAAGGTTTGGCTGAGTGCATTTTGTCCTTAAAAACCATAGGGGGCAGTATCCACCACATTTATTTCAATGGATTCTTTAGGGTAGAGGCTTGATTTTCTTGTATTGTTTTGTTTTTAATAACTTTAGCTTGCACAAGGTTGGCAGTAAAAAAAAAAAGGCAAATCAATGTTCCAGAACTGCCCACCCCTCCTCCGGCAGAATGCTGTGTGCCATCTGTAGTTAGAGACAGATGGTTGAAGAACTCCTGTTACACGGGCCATCCCTTCTCATCTTTAACGAACAGCTAATCCGTGCTCGTCACACGTTAAAAAAAAACTGTACAAATCCTTTCAAACAACCGCAGCAACTTTGCTGAAACTGTGGTTCAAACGGGTCGATGCAAGCGCGTCAATCTGTCAGAGAACAAATGCATAACATGTAAACACCTGTTTACCAATTCGATTTGCTCAAGAGGCTGTTGATTACATTTTAAATAAGTACTGCAGAAATGCATGAGTTTAAAATTATTGTTTTGTTGTAACTAAATGAGATACTGTAACTTCCAATTAGCAGATTTAAAAAAAAAGCATATTGCTTCATGGAACTCCCATCTTAGCGTCATTGCCTTTTCATCTATCCAGCCAATCCTCACCTGTAATGTTTATAGYAAATTTAATTGATTTGACACATCTGAGTGTTTGCCAAACTGTGCAGATTGTGAAAACGCTCCTCTGTGTCTGAAACAGGAGCAGCTGTTTGTCCTGTACCTGTTCAGTTCTGCAAGCATCAGTGCAAATGCTTCATGAAAATTAAATATAGAAATTAAATCATAATAAAAGATCAGCTTTTTGTTTACCAGTTAAATATTGCTCTTTAAACTTTTTCGGTTTGGAAGTTAGTGATTGCAAAAAAAATTTAAAAAGACAATCCATCTTCACTTTTTATGTGAAGAAATCAAAGCCAGTCTGAAGCCTCATACATGTAAAACCTTGAAAACTTTGAGATCATCTCAAAAGTAGAAAATAGAAAAACAAAGAGTTAATATTTTTCGACACACAATGAAATGGACGCTTTCAGTTGCGGTTTATTGCTCACATGGAGCACGTTATTTAAAGTCTTTAAATAAGGTCTTTAGTCTGTTGTGAGCAGCAGATTTAGAGGCACAGTCACTTCCACTTCCATTCTTCAGCAGCACCAGTAACAGTAATTTTGATAGAAAATTTCAGGCACGATTACAGCACAGCTTTGTGGTTTTTTGTTTAGTGCATCATAAGATTGCAACAAAACTTTGCCCCTCTCGTCTCCAAATTATACACAATAACAGTGACAAACGTAGCAAAACGTCAAACATAAATAAAATAAAATAAAAGTGGGTTGTTATTGAGCAGACTGCACAGTTTTTGCGGACTCCTCTGTGTCCGAATCCCTCCTCTCGTCCTCCATGTACGCCTGCACGGACCTCCACAGCGCCCGGATGTTGCCCTCGCCAAAACCCGTCGCCCCTCTTCTCTGGATCAGCTCAAGGAAGAAGGTGTCCTCTGCAAATATGGGTTTGGTGAAGACCTGAAGAAGATACCTGAGCACAAGACAGTAAGGTCAAAACCTGTAAGGATAAATCCCCAGCGCTGGGCTTCCGTTTCCCTGAGCTTTTATTTTGAAATCTATTTTAAAAAAATCCTCATTTTAAACCCATCATCCATCCATCYATTTTCTGTACACGCTTCTTCCTTTTCAGGGTTGCGTGGGTCGCTGGTGCCCATATCCAGCAGTCACAGTGCGAGGGGCGGGGTACACTCATTTTAAACCATTAAATGCATTTTGTTGTGTAATTGAAATCTCTATAAGTGCAGAAAAGTTGAATTTAGTCTCTCCTGGTGATGATGGCTTCTGAACTATTATGTCAAATTATTTGCAATGAAACTTCTAAAAAAGGTCGGTTTCACCAACTACAATTTGATGGTCTTCATTCTCCTCTGGCTCTGGGTCAGAGTCCGGCTCCAACACTTAAGGCTGGATGGACAAGACTCCCCTTGCTGACATCTTTTAATTCATTTGTAAAATAAAAAGTTTCTGTGTCATAGGCTGTGTCCAAAACGACAGGCCGGGTCCTCCGGAGGACCCAGACTCCCCGGTCGCGGCGGGCCGGGTCCTTGGTAGACCGGGAAGACCGGAAAAAAAGAGGCTGTGGATTTGGACGGTCTAGCCTCCCCTCCTTACCCCGGCGTACATCATGTCACCTAGCAACTGTGACGATGCTAAACAAGCAAACTTAAATCAAAACTAGAAAAATATCAATACATTAGCATTATGGGTGCTGTGTGTTAATAATTACCAACCTAAATTC